TGATGGCTGACCAGGCTGCAGAAGAGCCCTTTCCCCGACTCTAGAACTCAGGAGTCAGAGAGAGACACCTATCCTCTGCCATAAGATGGTATTTAAAGGCATTTCATCCTTAAATGAAAAACCTACTTTTGCCTTAAGACTAGAAAATTAATGATGCCCTGTGCTTTTGTCTGACCACTCTGGTGCCAGATTGGCCTTTTCAAGGGATGCCACTGTGGGGCTACAGTAGAAGGTTCATTGCTGCAGAGACAGCTCCTCTCCCCCTAGAGCTTCAAGGCTTGCAGTTCCCTACTTGAGAATTTACAAACTAGTTTGTAAACTAGAAGAAGCAATACAAATCAGGGACAAATGCTCTACTTCCCTTCTCTATTTAAGGTCCTCTTTTTATTATTTTAAATAATGATTTGCTGAAGACATCAGAACCACGGCTGAGACAGGATAAGAAAGACTCAACTTTTGTCATCCTACAAAGACAGTTTAAATCCACTTTCTAATAGGCATTTCTAATCCTCTGAACTTCTTCAGCCTAATTCTCCCTGACAACGCAATGGCTAGTCTCCAAGATTATATTTACTCTTTATCTGGTTGAAGAAGAGCTATTGGGGAACAGCATATCAGACAATGAGACATCTCCCTCTTTCAGTGACACTGTCGCACGGAAGTTCTTGAAGAGCATGAGATACAAAGGTCTAATTCCTCCCTTGTGCTGGGCTCTGGGAACTCAATTTTGGGGTTTCAGTTTCCTCTGCAGAGTGAATATCTGGGTATATGAGAGGGGAGCTCTCTTGTAGGCCCCTTTAAGTACTGGAAGGATGCAATGAGGTACCCCTGAAGCCTTCTCTTCTCCAGGCTGAACAACCCCAACTCTCTCAGACTGTCTTCACAGGAGAGGTGCTCCAGCCTACTGATAATTTTTGTGGCCATCCTTTGTACCTGCACCATATTAACAAGTGTAATGCATTCCCTTACCCTGTGTACCTTTCTGATATTTGAAATAGGTTCTGATACTTGGAATAGGAGCAAACCAGATCACTCCAGCTGTGTTTAGGCCTAGACATTCAATATAACCAATGGGAAAAGTCAGGAATGAGTTGTATAAATGGTTTGGTGCTCTCCAGTATGTCTTTCAAAAATGAACACTTTGTTACCTTTAACGGTTATCTTTGGGTTTGTGGAGTTCTTTACTATTATGCAAACACAAGGCTCCCTTTATCTTCGAAGGACATCATGTATCAGGAAAGACAAAGAAATAAATAAATGCCTTGTTATCTGCATTCTTAAGCTACAGAAACCTCTGTAGCATCAGGGGTGCCATTGGAGATGCATACGAGGACAAAGATGTCTGGAAGCCGATTGCTACCATATCTTTATTCTTGCAACTCTTACATTGCAATACCATTTAGAATGGCCCTGCAGGTGGGCACCTCATCAGAGGATAATTACTCCTCACTCCACAACAGCTTTGGGTGAGAGACCTGAACTTAATTGCAAACTGAAAGGAAAGCTGCATGGCACGCACTTAAGCACCACTTTGCACCACAGGCATCATAAGAAACAGAAAGTCATCAACTGCTGCTATTTAGCAGCAAGGAGATCTCAGCGCTTTCCTCTCTCACTGATGCTCCTCAAAGCATCAAATAGGTTCAACCAGAACTAAACAAAAGCAAAGCAAGTCATCTCTTCCAAATGCGATATCAAACAATACAGTCCTTGAAACATCCCAAAACAGTGATCAGCTACAAAGGTATTGGTTCTTTCCAACTTCACTAACAGATTATGTCATTCTCTCCCTCCCCCCAACTTCAGACCACTCTCTCCCCAAAATTAACATTTTTTTCATGGTTTCAAAGTACTTTTGATGCCCAAAATCCAGCCTATGCCTCTGACATCAAACATATTTGCTGACTATACACACAGAGTGTGCGGGTGGGTGACTTAAGAAGGCTCTTAGGTATAAAGTTAGCTTGGGGATATTGCATACTCTGCTGATTATTAAGAACAATTTCCAAGGAGGAGGTGCAGGGGGCGAAAAAAACCCCAGGCTTTAAAAAGCTGTCTGCCCCTGTGATTTTAAGCTCTTTGAAAAAGTAAGAAAGAACAGAAAAGCACCCCTGGTGTGTGGTTAAGATAACTACAAAGGAACTATTCTTAGCAGGTTCCTTCAGGAAAATGAAGGGTGCTTTGATTGCATTTTTTGGCCTTGCTAATCTGACAGATATTGATGGATAATTTGGAACAGCCAGAATCTCTGTTATAAAAACATTGGCTCATACATGTTACATCCAGATGTTTTACTGGGTTCTTAATAGATATCAAAGCTTTCTTGAAATACTTGAAAGTTGCATTTTATACACTTAAGAGTGTATACATGCAGGGGAGAGAAATTACAGAGAGAAGCTCCATTAAGAGCAGCTTAAAAAGGAGTGTTCATGCCCTCCAACACGGACACTTTAAAATGCAACCCCCTTAGCACTTTGTTTCTGCCTAATCAAGTTTGAAAATTAAGAGCACCGAGATTCTTAATGAGCAATTAGGGTCTTGCAGGCTGGTCTCTCCAACAGGTACAGCAGCTTGTGTGTAAACACTCCAGCACTGACTGCCCCACCATCTCCTGCCTCACCACCAGGGCAGTGGCAGCAGCTACCCAGCCTGCTGGAACCAGCAGCCCCCACCTGGTTGCCCTGGTGGGGACATCCCTGTGACTTCTGACAGTTGGCTCTTCATCTCTCCCAGAGGTAAAGGGCTCCAGGGTCCCATCTCCACTGGGCTTCAAGATAGGAAGAAATCTTTCATCTGAGAGCATGTGGGGAGGCACCCCCACACCATAAGCACTCATTTTGAGTAAATCATGAATGAAAGCAAACAATGCAAGCAACACATGCACCAGAGCTCTCAGCAGCACTCTTCTCCCTAACAGTGCCCCAGCCACTACCACCAGATAGCGGCTGAACAGGCACATGACTTAAAAATAAAGAGCCGATTCCATCTGGGAAATAAAGACATGTAGACAAATCAGACACAGAAGAACAAGAACAGAGGCAGCAGGTTGCAGCAGGGTTTGGGAAATGCAGTGCTGTGCAACTTGCAGAATTCCCAAGTCATTTGGAGGTGTTGCCCCAACCAGATTCTCGGCAGCTCCCCACAAATGTACTGGCTATTCTGCTTTGCACTCACTACCTGACAAACTCAGTAAGGAGAGTATTCATCCCTTTATAAGGTAGTCATTAAACACACCATTTCTTCCCAAGATGAGAAGTATTCCTCAAGTTGGTAAGCATTTTAGCAGAGAATGCTCCTAGTAAAAAACAGATAAATTGCAATAGATATGCAATGTGACAAGTATGAAGCATAGACAGAATTTTTAATCTGTCAGGAGTCAGACCTGAAGATCTGCTGCTGAAGTGCTGCTTTTCCTTCCCCAGAATGTCACTGGAATCAGTCAGTCACTGACAGAGGCAAGTATGAGGTACTGCAGCAGAGAAAAGGATGTCCTGAGCAAGTAGGATCAGGCCATTCCTTTGCACCTGTTTGCAATAGTGTAAAGAGTTTTTTACATATTAAAGTCAGGAAATTTCCAAAGTCAGTTTTAGAGAGTTCACTGGTGAGAAAGCTACTTAGTCAAAATACTGACTGCTCTTCTAGTTAAGACTAGTGTAGTCTGGAAACCAAAAAACCCAAGGCATTTGCATCACCAGTGCCAGCCTTACCATGGTTGGGAGTGGCCCAAAGCATACCTGATGGCTATTTAACAAGTAGGGGTAAATGGGGTCCCAGCCTCACACAGCACAACCATCCCTCAAATGTTTCATGCTATGCCAAAGGATAGCTAGTCACCATCTACCGAAGGCACATCTACCATTCTCAGCACACACAGAGCAAAGCAGCCTCTCCTCCCGTGGCTGGGCTCACACAGGTGGGAATGCAAGATTCAGAAGCATTTTCATTAACCATGTGAAGCGCAGCACAGAAACAGAAGTTCCCCTGGGTCGCCTCACCAGCAGAGCTTAAATTTTCTGGAGGTGTTCAGAGAAGTTTCAGTCATTTACATAAAGGCAAAGATGACAGCTATGCTTTTAAAGATGGATTCTGAGAAAAGGAACCACCAGGAAAAGGTACTCTTTAAAAGACCTTTATTTGGTTGCACAGTTACAATTCTGAAGTCCATTTACGCTTACAGTTAGACTGCTCCCAAAGAATATTTCACAGCTCACCATGTAAACAGACTCTGTCGGTCTGGTGTATAAGAACTGTATAAAATACAGATTAAGTGACGTTTCATCTGTACACTTTTCAGATTAGTACACCAAGATCAATTAAAAAGGCAAATAGATTAGTTGGCAAAAAGTGTTGTTACATTTTTAATATATTAGTACAAAATGGCACAGAAGGAAAAAAGGTCATTTTAAAGGCTATTAAGCAAACGCTTTAAACAGTTTCAATCAGTTCAACTAATTTTAACTTAATTTCAAATACCACTGTTGAACTTGGAATTGAACTTGTAATCTTCTTTTCTTCAGCTGTATGAAAGACCTCACATACAACTTTAGACCTGTTCATGGAAACTAAATCACAGCAGTTTCAGAACAGTGACATTCAAGTGCAGCAAGGAAGTTGGGAATTTCTAGTCTTCCCAGTAAGACTAAGAATTCATAGACTAGACCTTATTTTCATCTAGCCAAGCTCAATGATGCATACTTCAGATGCAAAGATGCCAGACATGTACACATAAAACACAGTATTTCTTAATGCAAGAACTGAAACAAAAACATAATTACATCATCCACCCTCCCCACCTTTGCAGGAGGCTTCCAGACATAACTATACTCAATGCCAGATACAGAGTTACATGGAGCATCCAAAAGATTACAGGCAAACTGAAGGCTTAATTCACAGGCTTCAGGTATAAAAAGAGAGATCACACCAACTTCAGCAACCTACATTTTATTTTTGACCCAGCCATATC